TTTGGAAAATTTCCTGCTATTTTTTCTGTAAACAGGTTTTTTTATGCCATTTTAACTGTCTTCTGGTTTTTCACTAATTCCAGATAATATCAGAGTAGTCTTCTTTGCATCATCTAGCAGCTGTTAGACTCATTTTTCATATTCTCCTGTTTTTAAGGTATCTGTAAGATACAGTGGACCCTTGACTTACCAACTCAATTTGTTCCTGAAGGCTGGTTGTAACTCAAGTTGGTCAAAGAAGGCTCAGGCTCCCCTACGCAGCCTTCAGTCTCTCTCCAGTATATAGGCAGATCTCAGCATCCTTCAAGAGACACTGGCCCAGGATTTCTCAGTTAACCCCACACAGGAGAGGATGTTGTAATGTTCCTTCCAGAACTCTATAAGAATTAAATCTGTATCTGAGACCATCTGGAAGCACAAGCAGCCAGCATTTGGGTCATAACTCAAGACTTTTGTTGTAAGTTAAAACTAAAATTTCAGTCATAACCCAAGTTGTTTGTATGTCAGGCTGGTTGTAACTCAAGGGTTAACCATACTATCTTCAAGTTCTGACACTCTGTCCTCACACTGGTCACTTCTGCTACTCATACTTTTTTTTTTTGTACCAGGGATCGAACTCAGGACCTTGCGCTTGCCTGGCAGGCTTGGCACCACTTGAGCTAAATCCCTAGCCCTACCCATACTTTTAATAGAATTTATCTCCTGGATTTCTGTTTAGTACCTTTTCATGGACTCTAACTCTTTTCTATATTGATTATTCATGTTTGTATCATTTTGTTTAGCTCAGTTAGCTTTTTATTAGTAACTTCTATAAGCTTAATGATCATTTTGTTAATTAAGTCCATTATCTGTTTAGTTATATCATTGAGCTCACCAAGCACCTTTTTTGATGGTACCGGGGATTGACCTCAGGTCCTTGGGCTTGCAAGCAGGCGGCGAAACCACTGAGCTAAATCCCCGGCCCCAAGCACCTTTTTTTAATCTGTTTTTTGTTTTGTTGCTTTTGCTTTTTTGTTTCCTTGTTTGTTTGTTTTTGTCTCCTCTTTTACTATATGTACAGTTCAGCTATTTAGCTTTTTATTTCCTCTCCATTGATGCCCCTTGGATCAGCTTTGGGGAACTTGAGAGTTTATGGAGACTTTTTTTTTGGTACCAGGGATCAAACTCGGGACCGTGTGCTTCCAAGGCAGGTGGCGGAACCACTGAGCTAAGTCCCTGGCCCTTATGAAGACATTTTATTGCCTTATCTTCTCATATTTGTGTGTGTGTGTATGTGTGTCTGTGTGTCTGTGTGTGTCTGTGTGTGTCTGTATGCATGCACAGAGGTTTGCAGGTCAGTGGTCGTAGAAAGACTTTGTAGCTAGAATGGAGATCTCTTTTACAGTATCTGTTTTCAGCGATAACACTCAGCATGGCTAACTATAGTCCTTTTCTTCTGTCCCAAGATCCAACCACCTCTGTTTATTTGTGGGGAAAGGGTGTAGTGTAACTGGCCTAGAACCCAGTTCTCTGGAATTGGATTGCGGTATTGTTGAGGACACAAATATCAGCGTGTAGAAAAATACAGTGGGAGCAACTATGCCACCCTGCCAATAGCAATGAAATCAGGAACAGTAATAGAATCAGAGACAAACTGGATATTGACATACCCTAAAAACAATAAAAGCTATCACTGTACCAGCCTCAACAATAGGAAAGAGATCTACAGTTATCATACAGACACAAAGATCAACCAAATATTGATACACCTAATACAGTAAATATCTACTAAATGCAACAACTATACCACCATTAACAATAGAATTCAACAATAATAGCATAGAATTAACTAAATATCTAAAGATTAATAAAGCTTGATAGTAATACTATTAAAGTTGGAGGGTGTGGCAAATAGGAAAATGAAAGAAGTAAAATTTGAAAAATAAAAAGGTGAGGACAGGAGAAAAGTGAGATAAAGGAATCTTATTAAAAGGAATAAGAAAATACAAATAAATAAAAGTAACAGGAAAGAACAAACAAGAAAAAGAAAAATCAAAGAGCAAAATAAAAGAAAAAAGGGAAAAAGAACAAAAGATAAACCCAACCTCCAAAAACCAATGTAGGAAAAGAAAAGAAGAGGAAAAAGAGGAGGAGGAAGAGGAAGAAGAAATGAGTGCAAAAAAAAATCCCTCTGTGTTTTTAATGATTTCTCTCCAGAGTCTCCAATATTGGAATCCAGTAGATATGGCTGTTTTGTTTCCATACTCAAGTTTTCATGTGTGAATGCTGAATCCTGCCCCACGGGTTTTGCTGGGTGTGACTGGACAGTGATTTCCATCCTAGGGCTGTCGTCACTCCAGCAGCTCCCAGTTTCTGTGTTCCTCTGTGTGGCCCAAGTCCTAGATTTCTCTGCACAGCTTTAGGTGGTTTTGTGAGGTGTCCCCATTGCTGCAGAGCTCCCCCCCGCCCTGTCTGTATACCCCAGCCTGGGGCCGTCCCCCAAGCTGAGGCATATCCTTGATCTCATTGGTAAATGGAAAAAGCAAATAGACCACTAAGATCCATGCTGGATGTAGGCAGCAAGACAGGGGTTCAAGCAGACCGCTAGACTTAGTGCTGGCACTTTCAGACCTGGCCCCTCTGAAAGTCACATACAATCAGTTGGTTTCTCACCATGAAGTATCAGGCCCTTGTGTCCTTGGCCTGAGCTTAACCTTCTCAGGGGGATGTGTGTCTAGCCTGTGCCCTCTCTTCAACTGTCTCTTATGGCCATCTCCCACCCAGTCACTGTGGTAGGGTGACAACAGCAGCCCTGAAGTATTCTGGAGTTCAGTGTTAAACCACTAACTCCTTTCCCAAATGACTTCTGATTAAACCCTCTTCAATATGGCAGAAGTGGCTGCAGTGGATTTCTTCTCCAACTCTAGCCTTCCGTGCAGAAGAGTAATTTTCATAGTAAAACACAGTGCTGTTTTTGCAGTTTGCAATACCCATAGGCTTTTCTTGAAAGTAGCCTTGTCAGCTAGGTCCATTATTTCCTTCTGGAACTGCTGACCCTCTCTGAGATTGCCTTGTATCAGCAGAGACAGGTCTCCCTCCCAGGGAGCTGGGGTGAGTTTTCCAGACTGCTTCATCCTTTTCTTTGCATTATTCTATTTCTCCAGCTTCTTAGTCAATTCTAGTTTTCCTGTCAGCTCCCCCCCAGTTCCTGGAGATCTACTTTTTCTCTTCACCAGGTTGTTCTTTTCCAGGTGTCAGTTCCAGGTCCTGAAGAGGCTGTGTTTTGCTTCCAGTCTGTACTCTGCTATGTTTAACCCTGTCCTTTTCAAGTATTTTCAAGTTATTTGATTCAAAAAAATTTAACAATTAGAAGATAAACTACAAAGAATTGAGGTGAATGATGTTTAGTTCTGAGCAATTTGAACTGGGAGGGAGCACTTTTATGAAACAAGGTCTTACAAATAGGTAGACAGTTGTAGTAACAGGAAATAGCTTCTGGAGATAGTGTAAGCAGAAAAATCTATCTGGGAGGTGACATGTAACAAGAAGCAAAGCAGCCTGTTGGCCCATGTGGATATGAGAAATGGGGAGGTGGGAGAAAAAAAAATCTGTTTTTCTTTGCTTGAAATTCAATGTTTCTGAGCATAGAAAATGAAGAATCAAATATAGGGTCATTCAGTGAAAGTGTACATCCATTTTCTTTTAAATGGCAAACAGAGGTTGAAGATATTGCATGCTGACATTTTATAAGTGACTGTATCTTAGGCTGTATTCCTGACTTGCCTTGTCTTGGTTGTTAGTGCCTTAGAAGCCACACTGTTCTCCTGTGAAAAATGAGAAATAACACTTTACAGCTTAAAAAGTGATTTTACACCCCACTTAACTAAACTAATGCTAAATATTCAAATAATTGATAGACTTCTTACAAGAAAATAGTTGAGCTTGTATATGGTTAAAAGGACAAATTCAAGTGCTCACAGTGGTAACAGAGCCAATGCTCCTATGGCCTTGAACTAGAAAATACACCCTCAGGGCCCAGGATTTAGCTCAGTGGCACCGCACCTGCCTCACTAGCGCAAAGACCTGAGTTTTATCCCCGGTGCCAAAAAAAAGAAAATATACCCCCAGTAATTGGAAATTACACTGAGAACTATGGAATCCTGAGGGACAAGATTGTATTTATACTTCATTCTATGTCAGCTACACTGAGAAATGTTTTCTGCCCTAAGGCCTTGATTTTACAGTTTAAATTAATGATGCTATAGAGAGTCTATACTATAGAAGGTAGTATTTTTATATTGCTTTATTTGATGTTTTAAGAAAAAAGACACCAACATCATTGCTGTACTTTGCATTATGACTCCTACTGTGTTAACTGCATGGTTGGTTAGATTCATGGATGATAAAGAGTCGGTGTTTGAAGTGATCAGGCTTGTCTCTTGTCTCTTTCTCTATGAAATTCTAATTTGTAGTGAGCAGCTCAGAACACTCCGATTTGAATGATTCTGTTTATGCAAGATGTTCTTCATTAAATAAAGATGATGTTAGTAATTTTTAAATCAGTGGTTTGCATCAGCTTTACTTTTTGGTTTGTAGACCAAAAAGGTTTGGCTGCTTTGATGAAATACATTCAGCAACTCTCCTGCTAATGGAGGAAAAAAACTCTAACCCATCTCTTATTTAAAGAATAGTTTCTGTAGTTTATCATTGAAAAGCATGAGACCACATGTTCTTAAACTATTACTTCTTAAGCAAATATATAGCCTTTCAATTATCCATGTATCTAAGAGCTTCTAGGTTCTCCGGACTGGTGCTGTTATTAATCATTTGAATTTGATTTATACTCATATATAGCTAATAGCAGAGAAGTTTAAGGAATTATCCTTTGTTCATGAAAACCTATCAAAAAAATTAGCCATCCACCAGTTGGATAGTTGGATAAGAAGCAAGCAGGTAGGTTCTTTTAAAAGCACTAATCTTATTTTACATCCAAAATGAGGTGTTTTAATTTTCCATTTCAGTGTAAGACCTGCTCTGAGCCAAAACAGATAACCAGCTCATCTGCCATCTATGACAACCCTAATCTCATCAAACCAATCCCGGTGAAGCCCAGCAGCAGCCAGCAGCAGCACATACCTCCTGGCCAGGTACACAGCCTCTGCACAAGTTCTAAAGGACTTTCACCCACAAGGCATTGGGGCCATGCCTGGTGCTGTTGAAGGATGTTTAAGAGAGATTCCACACTGAAGGGTTCTCATTATTAATAATTTACTCTTCTTAGAAGGGGGTTAGAACTTTGGACAAGTTCTGTAGACTTGAACACCTTTTTAAAACAACAGACAACGGATCACAATGTCAGAGGTGACAGAAATGTTACTCATTGAGTCTATATTCTTCTAGGGTAGGCAGTTTCCAAGGCTGCTGAAAAAAGTAACCAACTGGGCAGCAAAATTTCATGTGACATTTTTGAGGACCCCTTTGTGTGTGTAGGATGGGTGCTTATTCTCAGCAAGATCAGGGTAAAGACCAGTATAAAACTTCCCTACAGACCTAGTGATTTGTCATTGTATTTTCACTCTAAAATATAAATGTTACAGCAGCTTTTATATCACTGTATATGTATATTATAGGTATGTATTTCAGAATAGCACAGCAATAACAAAGCTTGCTAATCTGCAGGCCCCATTAGTGATTGTAAATATCATGTGTCTGTGTATTTTATATGGTTATTCCTAATTGAAGGGTTTTTTCAGAGAACTAGTTTAAATCAATTCTGAAAATGCACATGGAGCCAAAAGGAGTAAAGACTAGCTAATGAAAGTCTTGTATTGAATTTTTCAAAAAAAAAAGAAGTCCTTTCTAATTCTTTTAGCTTTCCTTGTACTGCTTTCCATGGAGTTTTTATTACATTTTAATAGAGAAACCAGAATACGTTGACTTTAGAATGGAGTTCATGTTTCCACTGTAACAGTGGAGAAGGCAACAGAAGAGGACAGAGTTACACAGAGCAGAGAGAAAGGAGCTGTGTAACTGGCTGACAGGGTGGATTGCATGTCTCTGATGATTTCTTCAAAGGCCACTGGTATGTTGCTGGAAAGATCAAGTTAGCTTAAGTGACATATCTGCCTTTCTAGCCCTAGGTTTCTATCATTCTGTAAAAAGCCACCAGGACCCTCATTCGTGTTCTTGTGCACTCTCAGTGCCTCTTGCACTCTGCAAGCTTAGGTGGACTTGTAGAGATCATTTACCTTTCAGTGTACATAATTTTACACCGTAGTGCTCCCTAATCTGTGGACTGCAGGTCTCCCAAGAGTTACGTGCCTATTTGTCAGACAATAGATACTAAAATATAACAACTATAATAGGGGTAGGAGAGAGAATGCTGTGAAAATCCTTGACATTAAAAAGGAGGTCTCAGATTTTTCAATTTTATATTTTTCATCTCTTCTAATTGATCTTTTGCAAATGGAATAAGTCATCAGTTAGGTAAATTATACTTAATAGCCCCACCATAACCAAATAATATGTGGACCCATTTTCAGACATCTTTATTTTTTTCAGAATTTAGATCCTGAACCCCAACACTTATCCCTGATAGCCCTGTTTGGGAAGCAGGACAAAGCTTCCAGCCAGGAAACTGTGGAGCCCCCACAGAGCCTTCACCAGCAGCAGCAAGAGAAGCTTCCAGTCCAGCAGGGCATTGTGCACTCCTTCTCCTATGAGGAGCCCAGAAAGCTCTCGCCCCCTGTGGAGAAGCAGCTGTGTCCAGCCATTCAGAAACTCATGGTCAGGAGTGTGGACCTGCACACCCTGTCAGAGCTACCTGAACAGCAGCCCTGTGAGAATGGCAGTCCCCATCCTGCAAGGGAAGTTGCTCCTGGACCCATCCAGCAAGGGTCTCCCCATAACATCAGAACTATGCATGCTGGACAAAGTGCTTCCAGGACCCAGAACTTGTTAGAAAAGTTCCAGAGTGCCCCAGAGCTAGTGAGCAAGCTTGATCCCAACACACGAGCACCCACCAACCTGGCTGCCCCTGGCAGCCACAAAGCCCTCTCTGCTGCTACCCCTGTGGCTCCAGTCCAGAGTCTGGCCCAGCCACAGCTGTATTTCAATGGCTCTCTTGCACCTCAGATGCTAGGACATCAGGCTCACAGAAAGGGACAGTGCATACTGCCCAGACAAACACTGCCTCTGCCTGGCAGTCAGACAAGCAGCCCTGGGGTGGTCTCCCCTCAGGAGCTGCTAAGAAGGCTCCAAGTCGTACAGCAGGAGCAGCAGCTACAGGCAGCTCCTCGGCCAGGCCTGGCAGCCAAGTTCCCTGCAGTGACCCAGAGCTGCAGGACAGGGAAACCCTTAGAGTCCTGGATCAGCAACACATCCAGCACAGAGAAGCAGGCCCCTCTTCTGCAGGTAAATATCCATCAACTGGGAGGTAAGGGTGGGGTGTAATGTGGTGAAATTTACAGTCTGCTTCTCTGCTGTTGGGTCCACCCATCACACACATTTCTATTTAAACAGGACGCCCAAAGCCACCTCTATGCATCTTGTTGTCAGTCACTTTGCCATTCTGCCTGGAAGAAGAACTTTCCCTTTACTTCACTGTCTGGGAACCCCTTCCCCCCTTTTAGAGTTAGTTTATTTGTAGAGTTAAATCTGTGTAATGTTATAAGGCCTGAAGACCAGCACAGTCCTAGAAAAAAATCCTAGTCTTTGACTATAGAAATTTATGATGGTCTGCTTTAAAATGACTCTGTGGTATCAAATATCTGACTTCTTGTTTCTCACTGCAGTTTGTTATTGCTTGTTCATTGGTCTAGTAAATGTTTTTGAGTACTGCCTGCATATTAGGCATTGAGCTACACAATAATGGAGCAAACGGACTCCCCACCTCCTCAGAGCTCACAATCCTGTAGCTTCATGAGGTAAATAGAAAATACCTAGTGAAGGTAGAGCCTATTTTGCTTGACCTCTGGATCATTAGTATAACTTAATGAAGGTCAGGGGCAGGGTAAATATGTCACCCATCTCCACTCCTCCCAAAAAGACTGCCAGAGAGGTAAAAATTTGTATGCAGTATGATCAAAATATATGGTGAGTGTTTGAATTTTTAAAATCCACTAAAGTAAAAGACATATTGCTGTTAATCCTCTTCACAGTACCCCTTGCTTTAAATACACTTAGCCCATCATTCTTGCCACTTTCTGAAGTCATTTTGGAAGTCCTTTTTCATGACTATCTTTACAAGATGTGATTAAAAAAAACATGGAGAATGCTGCTGCTGAGTGCCAACCAACAGAAAGTCAGGCTTGTAAAACATTACTGGGTGTCCTCATCCACCTTACTCGCTAGAGCTGGCACTGTAAATGCTGAGTCTTCCCTGAAGTAAAAATAACTATGAAAAATAAAGGTTTTGAATTGATTCAGGGATATTGAGGTAGCCATGACAGCACAACTAAAGATACAAAACAAGACTTACAGAACTGCTTCAGAAAGTGGCAAAAATGATGGGAAAGAATGTCCAAAAAGAGGGAGAGTATCATGAGGGGGTTAATGACAGCATATCTTTTACTGTCATACATTTTTAAAAATTAAATATTCAGCATGTTTTTCAGTCATATCTCACAAGTGATCTTTCTGGGAGGATGGAGCTCTTCACCTATCAATAACTGGAGACAGTGAGAAAACCTCATGCTATTGGTCATTTGCCTGTGGGAACAGCTGGAGATCAGACCCAGCCTCATTTTCCCTTGGATTGGGGCAAATCCAGAATGTACTGGATTTAAAAATTGGAAAGTTCTCCCTACTTACTTTGTCTATTACCATTGGTCTTTTTGACAGGTTTTGCCACATGGCTTATAACAGTTCCTCAGAAATCATTTTACTTTTTTTAAAACAAAGATCTTAGGCATGTGCTGGAAGTCTCGGTGTATGTGCAAACCTGAATCAAGGTATTCTCATTTCTTACTTTTAAAATCCCAAGTCTGAGTACCTTCCACTATAGGAATTGCACCTCATTTTAAGAGTCTGAGGCATGGACAGAGTCTTGCCCTCATTGTAATGTAATATTGTCCCCCTTTTAAAAAATGTGTCTTGCCGGGGATTTAGCTCAGTGGTTCCCCCACCTGCCTTGCAAGCGTAAGGTCCTGAGTTCGATCCCTGGTACCAAAAAAAAAATGTGTCTTTTCTCGCTTTGATGATTTAGAATCAGAAAATTGGGATTAATAGACTGACTTTAAATTTCTGCATAATAATTCTCTTTTCAGTAGTCACAAATGTCAAGAGCCAAGTAAGGAAAGTGTAAATTCTGCCAGCCCACACTGTGCTCTTCCTGGTGCTGTGGCTCCTACTCTGTGGGGTGTTGGTTCTCAGCACCTCTCCTGAAAATATCAGGGACAAGCTAAAAGCAACAAACAATCTGTCTTCCTCTAGGCCAGTTTCTGCCCCAGTAGATACACAGGGAGTGATTACCAAATTCCAGAAACTTCTAGACAGCTTGCTTCTCTGCCCGCTTCTCATGAGTTCTGTCGGGTTCCCTGAGGCTGAAAAGTAACAACTCCTTTCTCTTACCTGAGCTGGAAACACAGTAGCTGTAGGATTCAGTCAGGCTGGATCAGGATGTCACTTGCATAACTGCAGCAGGCATTGGAGAGCTTGGTTTAGGCCTATCAGCCCAGCAAGGTAGACAGATTCACCCAACAGGTCAGTGGCAATACCACACAGCAAGCAGCCCTGGGGTACTGCGCCCAACATGGCAGCCTGGAGGAGCAGAAAATACAGCAGGTCCAATCAGGAGAGAAACAGAAGGGTAGACCCCATAAGTCAGGTTCCCGCCCAGTGACAATCAAGTAAGGATGCAGAAGGCAGGAGGATTGCTGCCCTTTGCCAGGCTGGAAACGTGTGCCCCTAACAAGGACATGCTGCCACTTAGGTGTGCAGTTGGACTTCCATCTCAGGGAGGATAGCCAGCAGTCCCAGGTACATGAAGAGAAACCCAAAAAATAAACCACCATCCAGAGGCCAGTCTTTCTATGTATGGGCAGCAGTCAGCAGGGCAGTTGGCACCAAAGCAGCCGCAAGGCTGAGAGGGAACACACATGGAGAGCTGAGGGGAAACCAGTTGTCCCAGAAGTTTCCCACCAAGGAGACCTATGGACAGTTAGCACCCAGTTCACTTGTCCCCACTGCTGTAAGGGGGCACCAGTTCATCCCTGAGCTTGGTTCCTTAATCCTGCTTTCTGTGTATCTTTGCTGTGAGCAGGTCATCTCACCTCTGCACATCCCGGCTACAGTAGCTCCTTCTCTGCTCATGTCCCCCATGGTATTCACACAAGCTACCTGTGCCCCACTAAGGGAGAGGGATGGCGGGCTCCTGCCCCTGCAGAGCCCAGAGCCCTCTGTGGTCGCCAGCAGCCCGCTCACCAGGCCACAGCTCCAGGAAGCACTGCTGTACCTCATCCAGGTAAGGGGGCCACCGTGCCTCTCTTCTCATCTCCCAGACTTGCTGACCTGCTGATGTGGCTGTGAGATGCTCAGTTAGCTACTGAGTGCTTAGTATGCTGTGCCAAGAAGAGGGAGTGTGTGACAATTCACCCTCCACCCCGGCAGCTTCTGAACTCACTAACCTAGTCGATATTTAGAATACTAACAGTGCCGTTGGGTGTCTCAGCCCTTCAGGGGATTTTAACTTGGAGGATTGGCTAAGGCCTTTGGGCTCTCAGCTAGCAGACAAGAAGGAAGCCTGCGTGAGTGAGGAAGCAAGCACTGAGGAATGCTAGGTGCTGTGCAGAGAACTTGCTGTCAGAAAAGAGACCAGGGACCACTGTGGGCAGGCCATGGGACAGAGAGGGACCTGGGAGGGAAGCAAGAACTGGTAGTGACCACTGCGGGTAGTCTACACATGGTTTTGAAACTTGTTAAATAGGACAAGATTGAAAGACTGGACTCCTTGGCAGCCACTTGTCTCTATGAAATAATAACAAGGACAGTAAGATCTGACACTTGCGTACAGTTTTGGTTTTCATTTATGAGATTTTTGTGGTATTGAGGATTGAACCCAGGGCCTTTGTACTGAGCAGTATCCCCAACCCTTGTTTAAAATGCTTTCCAGACAGTCTTGCTAAGTAGCTGAATTGGATGAGCAGCTCTCCCTGTCTCCCGGCCTCAGCCTCCCGGGGTGCCGAGATTATAGGGTCTTCCACAGTACCTGGCTGCCAGGCTGTTTTAGGCACTTTACATATGCTAATTCATTCTCATTCGGTCCCTATACAAAACACTATTATTTCTCCTAATTTACAGACAAGCACACTGAGACTATGTGACTGAGGTCCTGTGTCCTGAGGTCACAGCCAATAAGTAGAGCTGGGATCCCACCCAGCCTGGCTCTACAGTGCTCCCTGCCACTGCGCTATACTGTTGCCCCAAGAAGGTTACAGGGCCCGTCACTGCATCCTGCAGAGCACACCCAAAAAGTAAATGATAGGCCTTGGAAAGGGGAAGGCTCTCAGCTAGCCAGACTTCAGACACCTCAGTTAACATATTTATGTATCTTGTTGTAGACTGTCGTTAAGAGAATCCTTGTGATACTTTGCTTAAGCATCACATGGCTTTTAGAGTGCAGCCTAGCCCTTTTGCAGTTGCCTCATCTTACTTAAAAAGATAATAGAATCTTAGTAAAATCATTTTTAAAAAGATATACTTTAAGAATGAAAGGGCTGGACATGGTGGTGCACGCCTGTAATCCCAGCACTGAGGAGGCTGAGGCAGGAGGATCACTGTGAGTTGGAGCCCAGACTGGCAGCCTGGGCTACAGAGTGAGACCCTGTCTCAAAGGAAAAAAAAAAAGGTCGCAAGGAATGGGGCTGAAAATGAGCATCTCCATTTGAAAGCATAATAATCTGATATAAATAAGAACAACAAATGATTGAGCCTTACTGATTGATAAACACCATGATAGCAATATTTTCTACTTTTTAAAACTATTCCTGATAAGTACATGAGAATTTAGAAAGAACATCTGAAAACTGTACTATGAATAGTGAAAAGAAAAATAAGATTAAGTTTGGGTTTTAAAGATCCATATCTTTTCTGGTTCATTCCACTCAGATCACATTGTCCCAAGATTCTTTACATAGCTACTTAGAAATTCTATTCTTGTTCCCTCTGCTCTCCGCATACATTTTACTTCTTCCCATGTTCTAGACATTGTTTTCCTGCAGCACTGTAGAAGTCATGCAGGCAGTCTGTTTTCAGTCCTGTTTTAGGACAGAATCTCATGCATAAAGACTTTGTGGCTACTTCATAGGAAAAACGGGTAACATCACTCTTCATTGCATGTGAATAATGCTAACTGTGTGTAGTGCAAAGATGTGATGTGGGTACGTTGCTAAAGCTTTAAAGGATTTGAGTGAGAAGGAGAAATCTAGCATTAAAAATCAAGAAAGCCATTGATTAGACCCATTACTGTATCTCTTACCATTTAGCCTGGCAAAAGATCCCAGTGACTACAAGCCCAGCAGCTGCCCACTTGGCAACGCCAGAGCCTTTCCACAACTTGTGGGAAGAATGGTACTGGCTTTGTTAAGGTACCAATTAAGCATATTGCAGATAAAAATCCTAGTTCCTGCCCAAAACAAAATATAAATGTTGCAGACAACTTGGAGGACCTAAAAGAACAACCAGCAATCTTTAAACCCAACTTGGAGACACTTAACCTTGATTGCTTCCTCCTGACCCATCAGTCTGCTGGGGATCACTGTCTTTATGCAGCAGAGCCAGGTTTTCCATGAGTGAACTTTGTTGCATATGGCCACATGGCTGGGCTGTCCTGTGCTGTCATGAGCACTTGCTGCTTTACATATCAACCACTGAAAACTGGGAGCTCTGTCCTGGACTTACCTGTAGCCCTGCTGAATAGCCATGCACACAGTTAAAGCCACCTGCTACTAAGCAGCGCAAGCAGAGGTGAGCATGTTAGTATCAGATGCCAAGGGCTGGGTGGGGGTGTGGCTCAGTGGTACAGCATGTGCCTAGTATGCTTAAGGCCCTGTGTTCATCTTCAACACCTAAATAAATAAATATTTTTTAAAATCAGATACTAGTTCATCTCCAAGACAGGAAGCCTTGGGTTCTACCACCCAAATTTCATTCCTTTGGGCCTTTTGATCTTGTTTTCCAGAATGATGACAACTTCTTAAACATCATCTATGAGGCCTATCTCCTCAGCATGACACAATCAGCCATGAAAAAGACAATGTGAAAGCAAATCCTTTGCAAATCTGATTTTCAGGGTCCTTCTAGGTCTCCTGCACGAGGCTCTTTATGTGAAGTCCTGTGGCCTAAAATGTTTCTTCCTTTAAAAAGAAAAATTGTAATAAAAAGTAAAATGTTTTTTGTACAGCCAAGTGTTTTTTGTTTTTGTTTTTAAGGTTCACATCCTTCAGTTCACCTGTACCAAGAATTAAGTGGGTAGAAAAAGTCTTTGCCCAGGTCACACAGCAAATGCCAAGCTTAAGTCTTTTTTTTCTTACATGTATGGGACCATCTTAAGAAGAAGCAGGCTCACCAGGGGAAGGGTTCTTCTCCAAGCTTAGTTTTTTTACATATTAATAGCTCTGGTTATTTACCGCAGTTTCCTGGTGCTGAGTGTGGTGTGCCACGGCACCTGTCTACCACCAGGTGGCACTGTCACCCCACAGGTTCACCTGTGAAGCCTTTCAAGCCTTTGGAAGTAATCACGGTTTCCTTTTACCAGACAAAGTAAACCTTTCATTTGTAACGATCCAGTTGGCATGTTTTACCCAGGCTTAGAAGGGAAATTATTTCTGAAGATATTTATAGCTAATTTCTAGAGCACGGTTTTTCTAGGAGTCAAAAAACGACCCAGCTTTCCAGCAACACTTCCTTCATCCCAGCTCAGCTTATTTCTTTTGGACCCAAGGGGCAGGACGTGCCTGCCTGTGCTTCCAGATGAGCATTCTATCATTTCCAGCCAAATGTACTAAGGCAGAGGTCGCAGAAGGTCACAAAGCCTTTCCTTCGCCCTGGAGAATACATAGTGAATGTTCAGGAGCAGAATGAGAAGAGTTCTTTGAGCTCAGTGGCAGGTTGATTCCTGTGTTCATGGAGATGAGGAGCTTGATCTCAGGAGGAAGAGGAGCCCTTGCAGCCCCCAAAGGGTGCGTGTGGGAATTAGCCCCTGCTGAGCATTAGTAATAAATAAAGCTTTGCATTGCTATAGTCCTTTTCCTTCTGGATCACAAAAGGGACTTTAGATTACTGCTCAGCAGACAGATTTTAGTCTCATTTTATAGGTCATAAAATGGAAGCCTAGAGGAAAATAAGTTTCCTTACAGTTTCTGATGCCCAGACTTGGACATGAAGCTTTAGACCTTTGTTAGCTACACCATCAGGCAAAAGGTTTATTAGAACACCACCTCCCCTAGGCCCCAGCAGAAGGGAACTTTGTCTTCTAAGGAGAAAAGTTGAGCAGAAAAGGAATTGACTTCTTGAACCCTTGTTCTGCACCATGTTTGAGGAGTCTACTAGGTTGTCCTCCCATGTTAGGAAGGGACAAATTCATCTGTTTCTTTAACATCTCTACAACATCTAACATAGTGAGGAACTCCATGTGAAGCTGTAACAAAATGCTTGAAATTAATAATTACATGTATATCCATGTATTCACATAGAGAATGGCGCCAGGGAAGAGACATGTGGATCTGTTATCCCCGAAGCGATGATAATAGTGTTGCTTTGGCAACGCATCTGCTAAAATTAGAACAAAACCAATCACATACTTAACTGCTGGCCAGTCTTTTTTTAAAAAAAATCTATTGAGAGCTGTGAGTGTTACTCAGTAGTAGAGCACTTGCCTAGCATGCGTGAGGCCCTGGGTTCAATTGTTGGCACCACAAAATAGATAACCTAAAATACAACATTTAAAATCTCTTTGATTTTAATTACATGTTTAAAGTTGATTCTCTAGCTAGGGAGAGATGCGTTACATTCTTAATGTTTCCAATATATTTGCAGTGATGAGTGGCTAATTTTGTGAATATTTCTTCTTTTCCTTCAGCACTGAACAAATAAAACAAAGATAACAGCAGTGACAGCATCTCATGTGAAATGATGCCCATGTGCAGATGTGACAAAGGAATGACCCCAAGCCCTGCATGGTCGGACGACAATGCGGGCTTCACTAGGACCATTTTAGGTCGACACCACAGTGATGTGTTTTGAAAAATAGTATGTTCTCTATCCTTGACTGGAATGAATCACTTTAAAAGTGACAGGCCCAGTTAATTTGGACCAAAGACTAAGCCTTTCAAGGGGCAGGTGGGAATGGAGTACTTATTTCTTCTCTACAGCAAAGCAGATGAGAGCTGCTTTGTACAGCAGCTTTCTCTAGAGAGTTCAAGAAATAGATCAAAAGGGTTATCTAAGGCACCCAAAGTTAGATTTCATATCTAAATTAACTTTTTCTCTTCCCACTCTCATCCCAAATTTGGAGACCGTCACGGAAGCCACTTCTAGGTATCTCTGGATCCCAGGCAGCAGTTTTAACCTCATTGGATGTCAGGTGGGATTGCAGGGTGAGATACTTGTCAGGAAGACAGCAGTGTCTGAATGCTGTGGATGTCTGCCTTGGCAGAGTTACAGAGGTCAAGCTGCCTGGAGCAGGGTACCGAGTGTGTAGTCTTCGGAGTCAGCTAGACCTGCCTTTGGTTCCCGGCCAGTTGGACCTTCTGAGACGCTGTTTCTCTCATTTATACAACAAAACACCCTACCAGTGTGTGTGAGGGTTAAACGGGCAACACGTGCCATGACATGCCACGCATGAGGGAGCTATAGTTGTTCTTGCCCCACAAGGTTTGCTATGCCCAGGATTCCAGCGCTAAAAGACCAGCCGCCAGAGGGACTTCATCTGCTTCCACCACCACTAAGCGTCAGGTCTGACATTGGCCTGTACCTATCTGTGGTCATTTCACTGTGCTGTCTTCTCCCCTTCCGTTCCCTGTCAATAAAATGAGAACAGTAACATCTCCTCCTTACAAAGGAAGGACCACCAGCTCTTTAAGACAAGGGTATTAGCATAAACCAAAATGGATTTGTTGTTACTGTGCCTGCATTTATATGTTAGTCAGGGTTCTGTCACTGTGACAGAATACCTGAGATGAACCGACCTCAAGAAGGAAAGGCTTATTTTGACTCAGTTTTAGAGCTTTCAGTGCACGTTGATTGCATCTTTTGCCTTTGGGCCTGTGGTGTCACAGCACATCATGGCAGGGAGTGTGCAGTAAAGCAAAGCTGCTCGTCTCTCCTGGTAGGAAGCAGAGAGGGACAGAAGGGGTCGGGTCCCCACACCCACTTGGGGACACACTCCCAGTGACCTAACTCCCACTGGCCTCACCCCCTAAAGGTCCTGCCACCTCTCAATAGCATCACAGGCTGGGGGCTGAGCCTTCCACACATGAGTCCATGGTGGGGGGCATTGAAGGTCCAAACAGTAGCATGACCCATTTTACTAGCAAAGCCAGAAAAAGCAGTACTATTCCACAGGCTTTGCAGTCCTCGAACATTCTTCTGAAGGCGAATTCTGCTCAATCTCCCCATGTAGAAGGCCTGGCATGGTGATCACTGCAGTGTGACAGAAACTGGTGTTAGCATCTTCAGGAACTGCCTGGTGTGCATACAGAGCTCTACTGATATTTAGCCACCCAAACTGGGTTCTAGCCCTTTCCAAAGAAAGAGCCAAAGGCAAAACATTCCCAGGCTGATCACCTAGGAAAACACAAATTGTTGACATCTGATAAATTCCTGCAAACTTTTCGTATCCCATGATGGACAGGATGCTGCTTGCTTCCTCTTGAATAAGAGTGCAAATCAGAGAAGAAAGTGCCTTTCCTCTTAAAGAAATGCTAACTTTTGAGTACTTAAGCCCTCTCCCGTTCCCTTGGATGTTAAATCCAACATTTCCCACATGTGAGGGCATCTTCCCTGGTGTGTGTGATACTAAGGATGGCAGGTGTCATGTCAAAAGCTCGAGCACCAGGCTTCACTTGGGTCTAACCATATGTCAGTGCAGAGGCAGGGAAGGCAAGTAGCTGAGAAGTAAACTGTAAAGGCAGTTCTTCATCTGTAAGGATGGGGTGAGCAGGGGTGGAGGTGTAGGGTAAAGATTTAGAAAGGAGGAGTACAGACTACACAAATAAATTGGCTGCTTGTGCATACTTACAATGCAGAAGACTTTTTCAAACAATGCCTCCTCTATCCAGCTAATGCCTCTTTCCCTCTTTTCAAAGAAATCAGCTTTTTCCCAGCTTTGGAACGTGGAGCCGTCTTTAAGGTTAAATTTATCATCTATGGCCTGCAGGTTGTAGCAACGCCCCATTGTGTCAAATCAGCTGGCTGCACATGTTGATGAGCCTCCCCGGCGTTTTGCTGAATACTTGATTTTCAGATTCCAAATGTTCTGCTCCCCACTCCTTCTTGCAATTAGGGGAGTCAGAGGGGCAGATACAAATCCTTGGTATATTTAACTCAACCTTGGATATCCAGATAGATTTTCACCAAATTGAGTTATGACTAATGTCTTCCAACAGCTTAGCGCTTTGAGAAAAGTACATAAATAAAACTGTGTGTGCAGACTGTGGTCTTGCAACATCAGAGGGGAGGTGAAAAGCAGATCCCTGTTGGTAACTCGTGTACTCCAGGGGCTGGGCGGTGTAGACCGTACCGTGGCTCTGAGCCAGGACTGGGCACAGCTTGGACCAAGCCCCTGGCGCTGCTGAAGAGGGGAAATGTAAGAAATCCAAACCCTGACAAGTTAACTGAGGGCACAGCAGGAAATGCACATGCGCGCACGCGCACACACGTTCCAAATAATCAAGAGAAAGGGTGGAATACCATAGAGTTGGGAGCTAAAGACTATGCATTTCCCTAAAGCCTGAGGACCAAGACCAAAGGCACTAAGCATCTGAGAAAAATCAAGATTGAGCATCCCACTGAGGGCCACGCAAGGAAGTGGTGGGAACCCCCGCTCTCGAACTGCTGCATAACCGAAGTCTAGACATTCAGTGGTCCTGTGATGGTCCTTCAAGGCCCATTCAGCTGTGTACACTCCAACCCTGGAAGCATCAGCTGCTCCCAGAGATTTGCCCTCACTTCCTGCCACCTGTCTGATAGGTGCTGCTAGGCTTGTCTTTTTGCAGCACATCATTTAAGGGTTCAAAACACCAGGATGGCAATCCCAGGACCTAGACAGCCATGAGATCCTTACCCATTGCAGTAGTGCAAAGAGCTCTGTACTCAGAGACATACAGCCCTGGATTCTAGTCCTACCACCTCCTGTCTCTTTCTTTACCATGTAAGTATTGGGAGAAGATTATTTTCTGTAGTGTTTTACGTAACAGTTCATAAATTGTCACTTGGTTCAGGACCGTGCACGCTCCACATTGCTGTCCTGTAGGTACAGTGTAGGACTTAGCCTCAAATGTTGGTTGTAGCTAGCCCCTTTTATTGACACTTACGGATCTGTCGTATATCTGCCCCGGATTATTTTTGATGTTTTTCATATTTTCTGGCCTTCTCCGGGGTGATGAGCTTCTTAAGCTCTGTTCTCACTGTGTAAATAGAGGTTCCCTCAGTGTGTCCAGAAGCTGAGAAATTGCGGCTTGACAGAAAACCCATAAATAGTGAACCCTGAAAGGATGTGGGCCTCTATTTTGTAGCAGAATCCCTGCCTCTGCGTGAATGTCTCCATCAGATAACATTATCTTGTCTCGGCCAAACTCAGTAATGTCAGCTGAGCAGCAGCTACTGGAAACTGCATCTCCTCAGTGCTTTTCCCCAAGCGTCCTACTCTTTCTTCTCTCAGAAAATGTCAGAGGAACAGGCCTTGTTCAGTTTCCTACATCTAGAAACTATATTTATTGTTTCCATCCATTACTTTTCATCAAGCTCTTCACCACATGCTAAGTTTGAAATCACTTCACTCATTTATTGAGTAAATATGTATCAAGCCCTCTGTACATGGGCTGTGAATGACACTGGAGGCACCGAGATGAATAAGAACCGGTCTCTGCCCCAAGGATCTTGCAGTCCGGGTTAGAAGGAGACTAACAATCAGGGCAGTACCTGACACGCATAGGGTGTTGTAGGGAATGCCAGAGAAGCTTCCAGAAGAGGAGATTCCTAAGCAGTTCTTAAAAGGTATGTAGGAGTTGACAAATGGGGGAAAGCAGGGTTCAAAGCAAAGCATAAAGAAAGGCAAGAAGCATCCATGATGTTCATGGAGGTGGGAGTGGTTGGGTGGGAGTAGAATACAAGCCATTCAGTGTGGCTGGATCTTAAAAGAGAAAGCAGGAAATGTGGCTGGAGAAAGCACAGTCTAACCCTGTAGACAATGAGGAGTCATTGATGGATTAAGCAGGAAGGGCCATGGTCAGATCTCCATTTTCCCATAAGCCTATGCCAGCTGAGTAGAGAGGACAATATAGGTGAAAGGGTGGAAAGTTACATTATTCAGGTTTTCGACACTGACAAAATACCTGAGAAAATCAAATTATAAGAAGGAAGAGGTCAAAACAAAACAAAACAAAACAACCAACTAAGAAAAGCTCAGGTCCTGACAGATTCACTGTTGAATTCCATAAGAATTTTGGAGATCTAACAGCAATATTTTTCAAATGAAATCAGAAGGGAAGCAGCACTTCCAAAGTCACCCCTGAAGCAAGCATTACCCTGATTCCCAAAACAGAAAAAGACCCAACCAATAAAGAGAACTACAGACCAATCTCTTTAATGAACATAGATACAAAAATCCTTAATAAGATACGTCAAACAGAGTGCAGTAAATCACCAAAAAGATCATACATCATGACCAAGTAAGATTTATTCCAAGGATTTAGGGATAGCTTAACGTATGTAAATCAATAAATGTTAATTCACCACATAAATAGAAGCCAGGACAAAAACCAAATGATCATCTCAATAGACACAGAAAAAACATTGGATAAAATTCAGCATGCATTCATGATAAAAACTCTCACGAAAATAGAAATAGAGGGTCTTTATCTTAGTCTGATAAGGGCCATCTATGACAAACCCTGGGCTAACATAATACTTAATGGTGAGAAGCTGAAAGCTTCCCCTCTTAAATTAGGAATAAGACAAAACAAAAATGTCTACTCTCACCACTTTTATTCAACCTAGTTCTCAAAACACTAGCTACAGCAATTAGGAGAAAGAAATGAAAGGAATATGGACAGGAAAAGAAGAAGGTACATTATTATTATTCACAGACAACATGATCTTCTACACAGAAGATCCTGACAATTCCACTAAGAGACTCCTAGAACCAATAACTAAATTCAGTAAGGTAGCAGGATATAAAGTCCACACTTAAAAATCAATAGCAATACCAATAACAAACTCACCATGACTACCATTAACCATAACATCCTGATGAGCCTGTGGGGAGAAAGGAGCTCTTCTTGGTTGGTGGTGGGAGTGTAAACTGATACAACCACTATGGAAATCAGTATGGAGATTCCTCAAAAAACTAAAACTAGAAATTCCATTTGACCCAGTTATTCCCCTTTCGGGTATCTTTCCAAAAGAGTTTAAAACATCATATCACAGTAATGTACGTGTTCCTATGTTTATAGTTGCACAATTCATAAAAGCCAAATCTTGAAATCAGCCTGTATGCCCAACAACAGATGAATGCATACAGGATATGTGGTACCCATACACAATGGAGTACTACTCTGCCTTTAAGAATGATAACAGTATTTGTAGGAAAATGAATGTACCTTGAGACATAATGGTAAGTGAAATAAATCAGACACAGAAGCTTATACATTGTATGGTTTCGCTTTGTGACAAATTTAATAAGAAAGAAGAGACAGATAAAAGAGAAAAAAGTAATTCTGTTCCAGATACATCTCTCTTATTGGTCTCTGGTTTCACTCTAACACAATGTGGGAGCTCATTTTGCAGCATTTACATTTCTTTGGATATGTTAGGTTCTTTTGGTTGTTATGAGCATGGTATGTTTTGAAGAAACAATTTCCAGAATAGGAAAATCTATGAAGACAGAGAGGAGCTCAGTGGTTCCCTAGATTTAGGGGCAAGAGATGGGGAGATAACAGCTAGTAGGTGGAGTGTTTTGATTTGGGAAAACAACAGTGACCTAAATTTGATTGTGGTTGTAGTCGTACAACTCTGTCAATGTGCTAAAATCTATTGAATCTTACATTTTAAGGGTGTGAATTGTGTGGTATGCAGATTTTTAGTTTAATAAAGTGGTTTTATTTTTTTTAAAAAGGAAGGAAAGATTGGTTTTGGCTCACACTTTCAGATGTTTACATCCATGTTCACTTGGCCCTGCTGCTTTTGGGCCTTTGGTGAGGTAGAACATCACCGTGGGAGCACATGGTGGAGGAAATCACTCACCTCATGGCAGCAGAGAGGTGAAGCAGAGGAAGGTGCTGGAGTTCCAATGTCTCCTTCAAGGGCGCACCTCCCAGCAGGCCCCACCTCCAAAGGTTCTACCACCTCCTGATAGCACCACAAGCTGGGGCCCAAGCCCTCCACACATGGGCCCTTGGAGGACACTAAAGACCCAAACTATAATAACTGCAAAGATAGCAGTGGAAGGGGTGGCAGTGGTCCAAGTAGAAAAGGATGATGGGGGCCGGGGATTTAGCTCAGCAGTTCTGGCTCCTGCCTCACAAGCGCAAGGTCCCAAGTTCGATCCCCGGTACCAAAAGGATGATGGTCTGATCACAGGCAATGGTGGCTGAGATATTTGTTGAAGAAATGAGAAGGAGAAGGAAGATGAAGAGGAGGAGGAATCAAATATTTAAAATACGTAGGAAGCAAAATGAGTGACTTCATTGTGGACAACAAAAGAGAAATCAAAGAAGACCACAGGTTTCTTACATGATGGACTAGATTCATACTGAGTTTAAGTTAGGAAATGCTGGCTAGAGTTAATAATAATAATAACAACAACAACATATCACCTATTATACTTTTTATATTTACTAAACAATATTCTTGGACTTTAATATATTGGTTTGTTTGTTCATTACTAAAATCCTACCATGTATACTATTTCTTTCATTTGAAAACAAAGGAAGCTAAAATTCAAAGAAGTTGATTTCTTCTTCACTGTACTGTCTCACACCTTTGGAGGCAGAGCCGTTCCTTCCTGCTGGCCTGAGTTGTTCCAGGGGTGAGAAGCAGGAGGCAGAATGGCTGTGTTTCCAGGTTGTTCAGGACATGGAAGAAGCCCCTACAAGTACCTCCCCATCCCCAGAACATCCCTTGGGCCTGTTGACAACAGAACAGGGACAGGCACAGAAATGTGTGGCCTGGGTGCCATGGGGTGAAGAGGGGGAGCACTGGGAGTCAGGGATGCTCCCTTCTTCCCCCTCTGCCCTTTCTGCATGTGGACAGCCAGCACAGGGAGGTGGCTCCCTCCCAAGGCAACAGGAAGTCCCGGGAGATCTAGGGTCTAGTTAATGCTGTGCTACTGACCAGCTGCATGATCCAACCCCCATCCCTGGATGCCAGTTTTTATATTTATAGAATAAGGTAGTAGGACTTGATAATAAGAAAATGCTTATTTGAAGTTTCAGATTCAGTGACCCCGTGGGCCAGGGTAGTACTGTGGACATTGCATGCATGACAACAACATTAGACAAATGCTAGTCCCGTGGAGACAGCTCCTGATTTGGGGACCTCAGGCAACCTTCTCCAACTCAGTCTCTGGGTCCCTTCTTTCCTGCCACTATACAACTCTAATGAAACAAGATAAGAAGTAATTTCTCCATTGCATAGCTTTTTTTCCCCATTAAGTTTATTGGTACATTTTAGGTATAAAATACAGTTACATTCATCATTGGAATCTTGCACCATTACATGAGTATCTTGGTTCTTATTATTTTCCCCTTCCCCTGCCCTCCCTTCACCCCCTCCACCCTTCCCTATTTGCAAAGACTTTGTTTCCTTTTTTTTCCTTTTCTCATATTTTTTGTT